GTTAATGAAAAAGTTTGTGAAAGTGATTTTGTGCCTCTTTGAGATCATATAATTATATGATAAATGTATGATTATATTATATAGTTATGTGAAAAATATGCCTGTGAATTAATTTGTTGTTAAATTATTCTTGAATGCTTGTTTTTCCTACAACATTTTGAAAGTCAATTTTCCTAGTTATAATTACGTTATTACCTAGTTATTAAGTAAAAAGACATCGTGTGTGTTCAGCCACTGAGAGGAAAGGTCATCTTTTCGGTCAGAAAATGTTTCGTCAAACACTTCATTCTAAAAATATTCAGTCTAACCATGTGCGATTGCTGTCCTCTGACCCAGTAAATGTTTTTTGACCGTTTTTGTGGTCCGAAAAATGTGAACCCTTCCCCAGTTCTGAGTTGCGTTTGCGGGGGAGGTTGAGGAACTCCGCGCAGTGACGCTGGATCATCTGATTGGCTGGTGTGGACATGCACGTGCTGGAGGAGCTGTTGAAAAAGCCCGCAGTCATTCGATCAGATCAGATCAGATCTGAGCTTTGGGCTGGTGCTTGAGTGACAAGAATCATCATCCGGAAAAATGGTTGATAAATTCGTGGGAACGTGGAAGATGACCACCAGCGAAAACTTTGACGAGTACATGAAGGCTCTAGGTATGATTCTTCATCATTTAATAACTTAACAATGCAAATGCATGTTATTTAGCAAGTCTCTTCAGTTTACATGTTGCACAAGAAATTTAATTTTTTTTTTTAATTAAGATTTAACATGCGCATCATTAATGTGCAATAGGTTAGGTTTCTCATACTTTTGATGGTCATAAATACAAAGGTGTTTCATGACTGAAAGAAGTGCCTTTCCTTTTTCAGGTGTGGGTTTCGCTACTCGTCAGGTGGGAAACCGGACTAAGCCCAACCTGGTCGTGTGTGTGGATGATCAGGGGCTGATATGCATGAAGTCGCAGAGCACCTTCAAAACTACCGAGATCAAATGTAACCTCAACGAGTCATTCGAGGAGATCACGGCGGATGATAGAAAGACTACGGTTTGTGATGGAATAGACGTGGTGCTTTGAAGCAGTTTATCGTTTGAAGTTAACGGGCTCTTCTCTCTCTTTATCTGCAGACTGTCGTGACTCTTGAGAACGGCAAACTTGTGCAGAAACAGACCTGGGATGGCAAAGAGTCG